GGAGTTCAAATATAACAAATACTTACCGTTAAGATAGTCCACCCGTAACATTTACGATACAAGTTTTTCAAAAATAAATCAAATAATTGTTAGAGCACATAAGATACCTTAGGTAGGTCGATGGATCTTTCTTTGTCCCTATGCGCAATAATACAAAACAATAAAAGACACCAAATACATAACATGAAACCTATAGAACTTTTAAAGAATAAACTCTCATTATATGTCTTCCATTAAGAACGCAGAACTGAAGACATACCATAAACTTGTTACTTATAGCAATAGAGACAATTAATATTTAACAACTTATAAGCTAACTCATCACGTACCTTTTTTTTTACATAAAATTATGAGCTACAAGTACTTATCCATTTAAATCATTTAGAATAATATGACATGATGATTAATTATATTTTTTTCACAACTTTTTGTAAAGAAATTTTACAAATATTTAAGGATATTGATCATTATTAACAACTCAAATACATAAGATAAAGAAGTATGTAAAGATCTATAATCAAAATGTGAATAAAATAATTATGAAAAGTATTTCTTTTAGCTTTTATGAAGAATCATGTTTACCACAACTCCGTGTAACATATATCATGTAAGAAAATTCTTTATAAAATGGCTATCATATAGTTTATGATCACACAATTTATAACTACAAATAAGAAATTTGTGGTACAGGTAATGTGTAAATAATAACTCAAGCAAGGCACTTAGCATGTAAACTAATGAATCTACGTAAAGAGTGTCACATATATTATTACGTCATGCAACACATAGAACATATAATTTTACAAAAAAAATGTATTGCAACATGTCCATAGATAGATTTTTGATGACTTACTCTTATAGGGATTCAATCCCATGACCATCTACGAAAGATTCTATGGGACTATCTTAGTCGTGATTTATAGTCTTTAATATTTATAACATGTAGGTCGATATGTAAAATGTATGCATTTTCTATATGTTTCTAGCGACATGTAAGAACGGGTGGATGCAGTAAATTCCCCTTGGGAAAAAAAATCACTTATAATACAAAAATCGTAAAACAAGCGATCTCCTGATTAGAGAAGGAAATTAACATATAAATAGAATTTTATGAACCAAGCGACATATAATAGTTAACTTGCAAGGCACGTAACACATATAAATATATAAACAAGTAATTTATAGGAGATGCAGATATGAACTTGTAACTTAGTTCAATAAACAACTAGTATATATGTAAGTTATGCAATTGTTCATTTAGACCTTAGAAAAGTTATATCTTAACTTAAAACTTCATTCCTCATACACATACATTTTTATTTCCATACATACTTCAGCTGATTCAGATAACATCCGACTACATATCAAAAGTAATCACTTACTCCCTCATGACAAATAAGTAATACTACATTTCTTTTTTTACTATGAGTATTTAACTTATGTCTAACCCCTCAATAATTTTTTTTAACTCTAAATTTCAATCATTTCGTAAAAAAAATAAATAGATAGTAAGATAAATCATTACATTTACATTTTAAAAAATAAAAATTAATAGTAATTGAAGATACTTGTTCCTGAACTAAGTACGCATAAAAGGATTCACATAAGTCATTTTTAAGTTGGAGTATTCAAATAAACGTATTTTGTAAAAGTCATCAATCTAACCAGAGGTTATGATTTAGAAACTACCTTCTTGGCTAAACTAACATTTGGCCTTTTGGACTAATATAAGGTCCCCTGTAATAGAAAGATAAGACATTTAAGGAGAGAATGAATTAGAAGTAACTTCCTATGACTTAGTTCTATCGCACAATCTAAATAATGAAAGAAACGTAACTATTTCTAAATGTCTGGTAGCATTCTCATTATAAGTGTGGTGCACAACACACCCATAATCAAAATTCTACAAGACACGACTTGTGAACTCCCTGGGACACGACCTGCTCTGATACCAAGTTGTCACGCCCCAAACTAGTGGGGGAGCAACTGGCAGTTAGTACTTTATTCAATCAAGTTAGCCACTCTAACAAAGTGAGAAGAAAACAATGAGGGCCAAAAATATCGTCTTAATAAACTTCTGAAACAAGATAATTAGACCGACGAGGTCACAAAATCTTCAATGGCATAAAGAAAGGGCCGACATGGACAACTTAAGTGGTAAAGAACAAGCAAGCCGACAAGGCTACAACTTAAATCACATATACAATAAGCTGACGAGGCTATAAACCGAAAGTTGAAAGGACTAAACAAATTGTCCACAAGTCTCTACGAATATTACAACTCAACTGGTTTGGGAACGACCCCAACAATAACAAGTATATACAAAACTCGAGTATACAAAATCTACAGACAACCTACAGCTCCAGGAAGAATGGAACTTACCAATCCTCAGCTTACACAACACCCCCCTATTACAGGGACGATCAAGACCTATGTCTGAACCTGCAATAAGAAATGTAGCGTCCTCAAGCAATGGGACGTCAGTACGAATAAAATGTACTAGTATGTAAGGTGGAAAAATAGAATCTTAAAAGTTTGTGATAAAAAGGGTAATAGAGATACCACTTGAAACTTAAACTCTAATAACCTCCATGGCTGAAATTTCAACTCATACTAAATAAATATGCATGGTATGCTCGTGTAATCATATGTCGTGAATACATATCTATATATATATAGATAGATATATAGATGCAAATGCATGACATACCCAACCAAATTCTAGCAATGGTGGTCTTTTCGGTAGCTAACCGGTATCACATTTGCCAACTTGTGGCCATCTGCGTCTCATACGTATAAATATAGGCAATAGGCCCCATACCTCCCGTTTATATCTCGAGAGTAGGATGCATAGCATGTAATGCATTTCATGAATTCGTAATGCACATACGTAACCATAATCACGTTTCCAATTTTATCCCATAGGTACTCTTGTTCTTATAATCCCATAATCACTTTCGGGTAACATGTAAATATCTTGTAGAACCTCATATGCTTTCATGTATACTTAACTCGACTTCGAGTGAGTAATTTAGTCGTTTACGAACTCAAAAATAGACTTACATACTTGACTGGATTTACTATAAATGACTCTAAGTTGTAATCGTATGAGCTTGTTTAAATTGAGAATCACGAGGCTTATGTCTTGAAGATAAATGTATATATTGGAGAAGCTGATTTTTGCTTTGTCTTAAACTAACTTACTACTGCTTTCCCTGATAATAGAAATAATTGCTAGAGGGGATCCAATTCCATACTTATGTTGCATTTAGTTAGCTATCATAATTGAAAGAAACCATTCTTCGTATGTGAAAACGAAAAGGTATATATCTATATGTATATATTTTGAGAAAGGCGGTGGTAGCAACTTAATTAGCAACCAATCAATCAAATTAAAAATTACTTAATCAACAGCCACGCACAAAGGACAACAATTTATAAAACAAACCTTCCATATAGTAATCAAACAAATAAATGCTACATATGATAAGTGATGACCATTTATTAATCATTTTAACATGTAGTGCTATCCTTCCACTTCCACGTGGAGGTGGAGGTGTTTACCCCCTTCTTTTATTATTATTTTTAATCTCACTAAATACACATCTAGATATAACATAGATTTGTACAAAAATATGTCATTCGTTTTCATATATATATACCACATTTAATAAAAAAATTATTTTTAATAAAATTTACCTTATATATTAGAATAATCTCTTGACATAACTAAACAACCTATCTACATTAAAATATTAATAATTTATAAAATTCTTATAAAATAAATACATAGGAAAATACCTCATAACTAAAGAATATTTTTCATAAATATTTGAGGCACTTTGGATAGAATTTTTTTTAAAAAAATTTATCATTTTTTTTAAACTGATGTTTTCAACCATGAGCGATGTCACAATAAAATTCTTAAATTTTGTTTTCAAGCCTTAGACATGGCATGAGGGATACCCGTATATGTGAGGTGTTTCAAGTACAATCAAACAAATAGATACAACAAGGTAAAATACAATAATGTGACCTAAGTAGGCATGCTCAATTTCCCGAAAACTATCCAAAAAATGGCTAAAACATGTGTTCTACCAACTAAACATGATTAAAGGTACATAACCCTCCTAATACTAGCTAAATAACATGTAAATAGCAACTCAAACTCAATCTAAGACCGGTAAGTCGTATCCTACCTCAAAATTGATCACGCGCACTCCAAAATCACTACACAAGAGCTTTACCCTTTTGAACTGCCTCTGATTGTTGTCACACTATCAAATGAATGATCACGACGTCAATATAGACATTTTGACACCCAAATTGCAATAATTGAAGATGAAATTAAAAATGAGTCAAAATGACATTTTAAGACCCACGCCGGGAGTCAATTGATCTCATTCAACTAAGGAGCCTGTGCCCCGAAAAGGGCACAATCTGAGCCTTAAATCCACCTGAAACAGCTCATGCACTAAAACTTCGAGAAATCACCATTAAAGAGATAACTAAGGAGGTTTTGGATGAGAAATTATCTCCAAAACAAGCCCACAATGCTCCCCCAATAAACCCAACTCAAAACCCCAACAATTTCTAGCAATTAGACACAAAAATCAGCTCAAACGGAGTTCTAAAGATCAAGAAATCAAGTTTTTATAATTGATTTTATATTACAAAAGTTTCAGTTAATCTTTTCTAACATATTAAGCTTATAAAAAGAAAAAAATAGAACAAAGTAAGTGGCAGAAAAGACATAAAAAACAATTTATACCAAGTGAATTTATGGGGAATGAATCTATGCTAGACTTGATGAGACGAGGACGAACGAATTGAAAATAAAATTTTTTTACTACATGAGTTGTGGCAGGGCAAGGTTAGGTGGATCGAAACATTTGTAGCTTTGTACGGATTTAACACGCCCCACATCGCCCGCATCTTTGCCATCCCTGCTTTCGAGGGGACTCAAGTATCAAATCTAGGATATTAAAGGGACCATAATATGAGTAACAAAAAGTACAAATCTAATCCACTCCCCCACTTCTCTTTTTTCCTCTTCACTCTCTTCACAACTATGAGCGCCGGTCTCCTCTTGCCGCTTCCGGCGAAGCTTTCAACCTTCCCCACTGCACCTTCTTCACTTTCTACACCGACCCTTTTCACCATTTCGTTCGCTAAGCCAATTTCCAACAACCCCATTTTTGTTAAACAAAGTTTGAGCTCAAAAAGACCGGATTTCAGGGTGTTCGCCGATGACGGAGATGCTGACGGCGGAGGTACAGATGACTATGACATGGACGAAGATGAAGTGGAAGAAGCAGACAACAAGAAGGACTTTGATGTTGACTATGATACCCTCTTAGGTGGTGGTAGTGCTATGTCTTTAGCTGTTGCTAGGGGTGATGATGACATTGCGATGGTGAATAGCAGTAGTTTTGTGTTTACTCAAGGATGGGATTCGGAGAAAATTGTGGATTATAGGATTAAGGAGGAGGAGTTTCATAAAATTTGCCTTTTTGATTGTGATTTCTTCATTCGTAAACCTCCTGATCCTGATAACGATGTTTATGATTTTCGTGAGGTTAACTTCTGAGTCTCTGTCTCTTTTTTTGTCTGCTGGGAGCATTAGTATCTTAGCACTAGAATCTGCACATTTGTATATTGGAAATTGCATATTTGGTTTCTTTTTATGGATAAAATATCTGCATTTTAGCGCTTTGCCTAGTATTATATGTAACGGTTATAGTTGCTCTATATCCTTATAAGTTTCTCGGTGTTGGGAATGCATATTGATGTAAACACTTTGTTGATTTCTGTCTTGATAAAATGGTTATCAGGGTTGTCCAAAAGGGATGACCTAGAGGCTGAGTCAGGGGAATAATGTACTGTTGATCACCATTGGAATAATAGCTTCCAAACTTGGTGCCAATCTGCTTCAACCTATGAGCATAATTACATTGGCAAAACCTGTGCTTGTGGACTGGACAGGCTGTTGGGTGGATTACACCTCAGATGTGTTTTTTTAAAAGAAATGGGGTTTTATCTTTCCATGTTACATGGACTCAAATATGGGTGTGTATTTGGTATGCAAATTGATATATATATATATATCCTGGTGGGATTGTCAATTTGATAAAGTTTTTGGAGTATTTTGAAGGATTGCACCTAGTACTACCGCACCCATGTGTATGTTCAACATGGGTAGGTCAGCAAATGAAAAGAACATTATACCAAAGTTTGGGGTGTAGGAAATTCAGATAGTGAAATTTGAATGTTCGTTACCGTTTTAACAATGCATGTGCTAGCTAATGAAGTATCATTTGTATTTGTTATGCAGATGTATGTTACACCTCCAGATACTGATATATATGCCATTCCCAGAGTTCTTGCACCAATGCCTCAGAAGGTGTAGTATTTATATGTTTATGATTGTACATGTTGATTGCTGTATGACTTACTTTTGAGTACTTATGATTCAACTTACAATAGATTTAGTGTGTTTAAGTAACTTCTTGATCAACAATATGTTTTTTCATGTAGTATATCAGGTGTGCAATGAGTGATTATGGGTGCTACAATGTGACAGAGCCTCCCATTGATGCACCTAGAGATCCCATGTATAAATCTGAGAGGGAAATTATGAAGGTATTGATGTCTTCTGTTTCAACTGATTAGACATTTGTTCTGTCATATGCTGTTTATGCAGTTTAGTTTGCTAAAGATGTGAAGCTTGTGAAGTAGTATTAATTGTAATGTAAAATGCAAGCTGGGATAAGGGATGAGCTTCCATTGAGACATAAGAAAACAAGAAAGGAAAAAGTTCAAGAAAGGCTTTTTAGTATTCTTGTTATTGTTTCTTCTTTTTCTTTATTTTTGCTTTTAGGCAAATCTTCCTCCTTAATCCTTTTTCTTGATTTGCTTTTGGAGGGAGGCCCTAAACTTTATTACCCATTTTTGGTGATCATTTTGGAATTTTTGTTGCTTAAGCCTTATATACTGATCTCTTGTACTCCATCCATGTATCCTGAAAAAAGGTTCATCAAAATTCTTATGGTTGTATCACACAACTATGATATTCAAGTACTTAATCCAAACATCTCCTCTTGACTGGTATGAAGACCATGTTAGGAAGGTAAGAATGTTTAATCTTGCATTCTATGGGTTGTATGATCAGTGTGTTTCTGTTGCAGGTATTCTTGACAAAGCACTACAGGAATCGCAGGGCAGGTGATCCAGAATTTGCTCTTGATTTCGAAGAAATATACGTTATTGATTCCAAAACCAAATCAATCACAAGAGCCAAAGTAGTGGTAAGGAATCAACAAATTTGATCAAACACCTTTTCTTCTAGATTAGCTCATTTTTTATTGATCAAATAACTTGCCTGATGAAATGATTATCTTTTATTTCACGGACATGGCTTTTTCATTTTCATATGGCTGAATTTGCTACCGTAATTGGAGTGCCAATGCTGTCAAATTAGAAAATTGGATTGTTAATTCTTTGAAGAGATGTTTAACAATTTACACCGCTCAACAATCAATTCTGACTTAATTTTACAGTGCAAAGGAATATAGAAATTTGGGGAAATGGGTGTTTTGTTCAAGGGGAAGGGTGCAGGATTCCGGAGGAGTTAGCATGGAAGAGGGTAAGGGGCAAAGGGGGGAAACTGAAGGATTTAAGTTTAAATTTTTTTTCTTTGTTCTATGGATGAGAGGAAGTGGTATGGCTGCCTTGCACTGATAAGGGGCAATTGTTTTATTTGCAATAGAGCCAGATTAAATTGACATATAACAGACCCAAAAGAGCCATTTCCACTTTGCTGATAATGCCAAAGGATTTCATTTTTATACTGAAAAGGGAAGGAGTGTACAACAACAACAACAATATATCCGGTGTACTCCTACAAGTGGGGTCTGGGGAGGGTGGAGTGTACACAAACCTTACCCTTACCTTGAAGGTAGAGAGACTATTTTTGATAGACCATCGACTCAAGGAAATAATTTCAAAGATAATCGAAAAAAGAAACAACATGAGTGAAGAAGTCATGGGAAAATACTATAAAAAGCATGTCAAAGCATTTTGAAAAAAGAACTGCAACTGCAACAAAATAATATGATATTTGAAGTGCAAGAAACAACAGATAATAAGTGACATTGAGGGACAAGAAACTCCTTGAGTAATACTACGACTACTAGTATGAAAAGGTAAGGAGTGTGTGTGTGTTAATTAACTATTTAGACTATGATTTAGGAACTAAAATTATAATTAATCTAAAAGCCTATGCTGCTCTGCCTCTTCAAAAATGCCAAAACGGTGCATGTCGGATCCTCTAAAATAGTGCATTTTGGAGGATTCTACACAGGTGCACGAATAATTTTGGACAATCTGAGCAACAAACAAAGGGCCATATGAAAAGTCGATACTAAATGAATATTGTGCCAAAGATATGTGGCCTTGAGCACGTGCAAGAGAAAATTTGGTTGAGTTGGTCTGTTAGATGCCCAAGTATAGTCTTCAGAGTGCGATAGAGCAAGCTCCTAGTTCTTGACTTCTCCTCCATCGAAAGTGCTTCTGATAGGTGTTATGAATTCATCTGGAGCTGCTTTCGTTGTATCAAGAAACACAAGGACAGACTCTTATACAAATTAGAGAATGTTGATGCTTTTTTTTGGTACTCTTCTTTAGATTTGCCTCAAGATTTTAATAGAATAGTTAGGTGGGAAAGAACACCTTGTTTAACAGCAGTTACCTTTATTCGTAATATTTCTAATTGGACTCCACATTTCCTACTTTTGCTTGCTTGGTGGATGGACATAAAACTGTTATCCTTTCTCTAACTGCTTATTCTGACTTGCATTAAAGATTTTTCTTTGTCCCATACTTGTGCTTTTCTTAAATGTTTCAATTGGCAGAGTGTTGCACAATCAGTGATCACTGCTACACAATGAGACATAAAATTAGGTTCAAAAGACAAGAATCTGAACCCCCTACACATCCATATTTCCTAGCAATTCTTTATCTAGCTACAAAGACTCAATTTCTAGCAGTCTCTCTGTTTCTTTTCTTGGCATTTTATAGCAGGACTTCCCTTGCAAAGCCCTTAACAAGTAAAGTCACTAAATATGCTCGGAGCATCTTATATACTATTAAACATGAAAGTTGGATTGTTCAGTCGAACAAGGTAACGAGTCTAAGGGAAGTAACATGTATATTTGAAATTTAGTTTTCCTGAGAAAGGTAAGGTTGGATGGAAGAATATTTGAAATATAGCATACCTTCTCAGCAGTCCCAAATATTATTCAACTTCTTTCAAATGTGTAACAAGTATAGAAATACGTCTTTTTTCTTATTTATTTGTTGTTTTTTCATTTTATCCCTTTGCACTGTGTATGTAGGATTAGTCTGTGTAGAAAAGGTATAGGTTTGAAATGATTAAATACATGAATTCACACATTTACCAGTTTCAAAAAATAAAATATAATACATGAATTCAATGATAAAAAGTGTTTTTTTTTTTTTTTTTTTTGAGATAAGGGTAACTTTGTATTCACAAAAAATTCATCATCCAAGGGATGATGAATTGGAAACTTACATCCCACAGGGTGGTGGGCACACCCTCAAAAAGCCATATGGAATTACAAGTTTCCTTTAAAATCGACCATCTCTATGCTTTCCCCTACCAACTCTTGCTTACACCAAAAAAATAAAAGACTTAAGCATTTCATTTCTATCTTCTGAAAACTATCATTTTGTCCTTCAAAACACCTAGCATTCCTTTCTTTCCATAGAGTCCACCATATATACATGCTGGAATAGTCTTCCACCAATCTTCACTTTTCCCTTTGTTGCCAATTCTTGTCCAGCTATTAAGGAGCTCCATGGTTGTCTCTGGCATCACCCAGCTAACCCCTAGTATACACAAAAACATATTCCACAATTTTGAAGCTGCTTAACAGTGAATGAACAAATGATTATTTACTTCTGCTTTCTGCTCACACATAAAGCATCTTGAGCAAAACTGCATCCCCCTTTTTTGTAATGCCTCATGTGTAAGGCAAGCTTTTCTTATGACCAACCAGACAAAACATGCTACTTTTAATGGGCTTCTTGTCTTCCACACTAGCTTCCAAGGCCATTTTTTAGTCACTGACTGATTGACATTTATCCTCCAGTAGCATGATTTGACTGTGAACATTCCTTTGCTATGTAACTTCCAAATTGGTTTATCCTTTCTTTGAGATATGGCTGGAGGGGTGTTTAGCACCTCTAGTAGCCTGACCACATTCTCAATTTCCCAGTCATTCAAAGCCCTCCTGAACACTAAGTTCCACCTTGTTGGCTCCATACTTGAGCAACAGTAGCAGATCTTTGTAAGCTCAAGGTGTAGAGGTTTGGGAATAAGTTCCTCAGGCTATCATCCCCTTTCCAGATTTCATTCCAGAAATCTGTTTTCAGACCATTGCCCACACTAATATAAATATTGTTATTGAACTGTGGCCACAACCTTCTGATGGTCTTCCACACACAGCATCCAAACGACCCCATCACCTCCTCAGTGGTCCATTGGCTAAACAAGCCATATTTCCCTGCTATGAATCTTCTCCATAGGGCTCCATCTTCAGTACAAAATCTCCATAGCCATTTTTGTAGCAAGCAATTATTCTGGATGCTAAGATTTCTCATGCCAAGGCCACCTTGTTTTCTGCTCAAAGTGAGTGTCTCCCATTTCACCAGGTTGTAGCCTTTCTTTTCTTTGTACCCTTGCCAAATGAAGGATCTTCTCATTCTGTTGATTTTCTTCACAATGCTCTTGGGTATTGGAAATAGATTCATCATGTAGGTAGGTAACCCATCTAAAACTGACTTGATGAGAGTCAACCTACCCCCAGTGATAGGTACTGACTTTTCCATCTTGAGAGTCTTTTCTCACATCTCTCCATCACCTCATTCCATACCTCCAACTCCTTATTTTTGGCCCCCAAAGGCAACCCCAGGTACTTCGTGGGCAGAGAAGCTATCTGACATCCCAAATTCTCAGCTAGATTTTGTATATTGTCTACCTGATTAATTGGGAAGAGGAAACTTTTCGACCAGTTAACATGAAGCCCTGAAATGCCCTCAAATATTGTAAGGGTTGCTCTCAAGTGTCTGATTTGTGCCACTTCTGCTTCACAAAAAACAGGGGCATCATCTGCATAGAAAAGATGTGTAATTTCCAGATCATCACCTCTCCCTATTTGAGCATTGAACCCTTTTATCCAGCCATTTACCTTTGTTGTTCTGAACATGTGGTTCAGACCTTCCATAGTTAGTAGGAACAAAAAAGGTGACATAGGGTCTCCCTGTCTAAGACCTCTATGCGATTGAAAAAATCCTTCAGGCTTACCATTTATAATGAGTGAGAATCTTACATTTGAGATGCAATACTGTATCTAGCCAATCCATTTCTCTCCAAAACCCATGTCTTTCAGAATTTTTAGCAAGAAATTCCAATTAACATGATCATAAGCCTTTTCAATATCTAGCTTGCATAGGATGCCTGGTTTCTTCTGTTTTACCCTAGAGTCAACCATTTCATTAGCCAGCAGAGCAGCATCCATGATTTGCCTTCCTTTCAAGAATGCCATTTGATGTCCATCAACCAGCTTCCCTATAACTATTTTCAATCTTTCGGTGATTAGCTTAGAAATGATCTTGTACACCACTCCAATTAAGCTGATCGGTCTGAAATCCTTTAATTCCATTGCCTCAGGTTTCTTTGGGATCAAAGCTATGAAAGTAGCATTAAAGGATTTCTCAAAATAGCTCCTCATGTGGAAATTGTGGATAGTATGCATGAGATCTTCCTTGAGAATATCCCAACACTCCTTGAAGAAAGATATGGTGAAACCATCAGGACCTGGAGCTTTGTCACCATCACACTGCTTAATGGTCTGTAGTACTTCTTCTTCTGTGAAAGGCCTTTGCAACCACTCATTTTCTTTAGCTGAGACTGTTGGGCATCCTCTAAATTCAAAGGAAGGTCTCCATGGTTCAAGTTCTGTGTAGAGCTTGGAGTAAAATTCAATCATGGCTTCCTTAATTTCTTTAGGATCCTGGGTTTCCTCACCTCTCATCAATAGTTTGTCAATTGTGTTATATCTCCTGCGGGCTGTAGCTACTCTTTGAAAAAAATTAGTATTATTGTCTCCTTGTTTCAACCACAAAGCTCTGGATTTCTGCCTCCAGCTGGCTTCTTCTTGCTTTGCTGATACTTCCAGCTCCACAAGTATTGTTGCTCTTATCAACACTTCATCTTCAAACAGTT